AGGATATAAGATCAATATCCAAAAATCAGAGGGATTCCTCTACAATAACAAAGAGAATTCAGAGAAAGAAACAAGAAAGCTATACCATTTACAATAGCCAACCACAAATTGAAATACTTCGGAATGAACCTAACTAGAGATACAAAAGACCTATACAAAGAAAACTACTGAACATTTCTGCAAGACACAATAAAAGGCCTAAAGAAATGGAAAAATATTAGGCGCTCTGGTGGTCTAGTGGCAAGAAGCTGTGCTGCAATCCCAAAGATGTGTGGTTCAAATCCACCAGATGCTCCACTGGAGAAGGTGAGGCAATCTCCTCCTGTATCAGTTGTATCTGAGTCAATGGTACATGGAAAAATAATAATAAAAATAATTTTTTAAAAAAAGAAAAGAAAAAATGTGCCCTGTTCATGGATAGAAAGACTGAATACTGTGAAAATGACAATCCTACCAAAAGCAAGCTACATATTAAATGCAATCCCAACATAGATACCAAATTCCTTTTTTCAAGGTGATCAAAAGGGAAACTGTAAAGTTTATTTGGAGAGGCAAGAGACCCCAAATAAATAAAACACTTCTGAGAAACAAAATTAAGTGGAAGGTATAGCACTCCCTGACCTCAAAACCTACTACACAGCAGTAGTAACCAAAACAACATGGTACTGGTACAATGACAGGCACATAGATCAGTGGAACAGAACTGAGAACTCAGAAATAGACCCAGCTATCTAGGGTCAACTGATATTTGACAAGGAAATAAAACTTATCAAATGGAGAAATGACAATCTCTTCAACAAATGGTGCTGGCAAAACTGGACTGCTACCTACAGAAAGCTGAAACAGGATCCACATCTCACACCATATATAAAAATGACCCCAAAGTGGCTAAGAGACTTGGAAATAAGCTCAAAACCATAAAGTTCATAAGAGACAAACTGGGATCAAGCTTAGAAACCCTAGTCTACAGTATAAAGAGACTGCCAAATACAGCCAGAAATGTACAATCTGAACAGGATAAAACTGATGAACAGGACTGTCTAAAGATTAAATACCTGTGTTCATCAAAAACTTTTCCAGCAGGGTGAAAAGAAAACCTACCTACTGGGAACAAACATTTGGCAATACCATCTCAGACAAGAGTCTCATAAGGAAAGTTTATAGACTACTCCTGGGCCTCCACACACACACAAAAAATCAAATAAAAAAAACTGATAACCCAATTACAAAATGGGCAAAAGATATGGAAAGAATTTTCACAGAGGAAGATATTAAAATGGCCAACAGACATATGAAGAAATGCTCCAAATCACTGGCAATAAGAGAGATGCAAATCAAAACCACAATGAGATACCATCTCACTCCAGTAGCAGTGGCAAAGCTTAACAGGACAGCAAGTAATAAATGTTGGAGGACAATGTGGTGAGATAAAAACTTTTTTTTCCTTGTTGTGTACCATCAAATTGGATCTGACTGGCACAGGAGGAAACTACCCCTCCTTCTCCAGTGGAGCATCTGGTGGATTTGAACTGCATGCCTTCAGGATTGCAGTGCAGCTTCTTGCCACCAGGCCACGAGAGATCCAGATAGGAACTCTTTTACATTGTTGGGACTGTACAATGACACAACCACTCTGGAAGGCAGTTGGCACTTCCTCAAAAAGCTGAACATAGAAATTCCATATGGCCCAGCTATTACATTGTTTCGAATATATCCCAAAAAAATGAGAACTGAGGCCCAAACGGAACCTTGTACACCAATGTTCATAGCAGCATTATTCACCATTGCAAGAACATGGAAACAGCCCACATGTCCAACCACAAACGAATGGATTGAGAAGTTGTGGTACATTCATACAATGGATACAGCACACAGGAGCAATCATCTTGTAAATTGCTACCTAACGTACACGAGTTCACCAGTAAGGAACCATGGCGTTCATGGGGAATCTGTACTCCACACTACTCTGCAGGACCTCCACAGTCACCTTCACCATCGCCGTGGGCGCCCTGTTCTTCGAGCAGGCACTCAATCCAGGAGCAGATATGATCTAAAGCACATCAACGAAGGGAAGCTGTGAAAACACATCAAGCAGAAGTCCCAGAACCAGGAGTAGTTTCTCAGCAGCCTCCATCCAGGCAAGAAGGACCAGGTCCACCCACTGGCTCTTGGCCCAAAGTCAAGACTTCAGCTTGAAGATGATGCTTCAGTTATTCTTCATGGACCACCTTTACCTGCTAGCAAGAAATAGCTTCCCTAACAGACTCTAACTTCTGCTGGTTTTGACATTTATCTAGTCAGAATCACCAGCAAATAAATATAAATTGTCCTTGGGAAAAAAAATTTGACTACCTGATCGTTTTCCAGTTCATAAGCATGATGACTGGGTGTTCACACTTCTGTATGACGTGTGCTGTCCATTAAACCTTGTTACGACAGAGGCACACTACTCGTCTGACGTGAAGAAAAGGGGAAAAAAA